TAACCGTTCATAGTGATCAGACTATTTTTTTGCTCCTCCTCGTTTGCGAATCTGACAAAGCCATAGCCCTTGCTAAATCCAGAACTGTCTAATATAACCTTAGCCGTCCTTATAGAGTTATATTTTGCGGCAAACGCCCTGTATAAGGAGTAATCGTCTACGTCTGTGGACAGATCGCCTACCCAAATACTGAATTCTCGTTCGGCGGCAGGTTTTCCTGTAGTACTGGCATGATTTAACCGGAATCTTACTGGCTGTAAAATATATCAAGCAATATGACATTGATTAGCTTATTGTTAGAGCAATATTCAGATTTAATTTCCAGTTATCACATCACATATATCATACTAAGGAATTTTTATTGGAAAAATGTTCTATCGTTAGAAAGTGCAGATTGAAACATGAATTTAACCTCAATTAATTGAAAATCATGGTATTTTTATCCATTAAAGGGCAGAACAATTTTTGAAGCTTGTTTCTCTACGGTAAAAGTTGAGCAAGGAGTTTCACAGACATGCGTTTACAAAGCTGTGCTATACTCACAGGATTTGAGCCAGGTATCACCTTGCCATTCAACTTGTGCATGGCATCGAGCGCCATTTCGTCAGTTGGAAAATGTACAAAACAATATCCTGCGGGCTCGCCGGTATACCGATTCCGCATAACTTTTACCGTCTGCGGCTGTTCGCTCATTTTGTGAAACGCATTCATAATGAAGCTCTCTGTCATATATGGCTCCAACTGGAATCAAAAAATTCATCAGTAATGGCACTTATATTGGAGCAGTCGTGTGTGGAGAAATAATTGTTGTCCATCAACGTGTTCAGACACTTTACTCACACCGCCCATCCATAGCTGACACAGCACCATTGGCCCTGACATTTTGCTCGGTTACAATCTAGTTCTCGTGATAGTTGTCTATTTATTCTGATAGTTATCTCTTTCGACTCGACAATTTTGCAGAGCGAGATGAAAAATATACAAAAATTATATCGTTCTGGCGCTATTTCTTTATCGTGGGTACATAACCATGTTTACAATCTCAAAGGCATTAAATGTATATATACGTTCACCGTGATACACACACTGTTTATTTTCGCACAAACACGATATTCTATTGAATAGAT